CCTCTTCCATAAAAGTCAAATTTTGTTTATTCTTCTAGTCCTGAATCAAATTCTAACCCCTTCACTGAAAGTTTCATAGGTAGTGACCGCCACCATCTCTTCATCGTCAGCTCTCATCATTTTACACCGAGACTAATTAATAGCTGCTTACTTGACACAACCTCACCTCCATCCTATCTGTCACATCACTGCCATAGGATACTTTCTAAAATATAAAACTGGATTAAATTACTACTTTGTTTAAAAATTTTAAATGGCTCCCTATGACTGTCAGATTAAAACGGAAACACCTAAGACAGACTTCCAGATTTCCATCTGTCTTATCCTCACTGCCTGAATTCTATACTTCATCCATAACAATCTGCCTGCAAATAACGTATCGTGCTTCTGTGTCTTGGCATATGCTACTTCCTCTGCCTGACCCCACTGCCCTTACAGTTCCTAGATCACTCCTCTTCACCTTTCCAGACCCAACCTAGGTAAGATAAAACCTTTGCTTTTAGTTTTCATATGTTTAAGTTAGTATATCGCAAAGTTCAGCATGCATCAGTATCATGTGGAGGGCTTGTTAAAGTTTCCTGGGCTCCACCCCCAGAGTTTCTGGTTTAGTAGGCCTGGGAGGGGGCCAAAGGATCTGGACTTTAACAAGTTCCCAGGTGATGCAGATGCTGCTGGTCCAGGGGCCACACTTTGAGAACCACTTGTCTAAAGAATTCTTCATCAAGAAAACTAGAGTTTGGTTGCTCACTTTTTCATTCATTAAACAAGTGTTTGTTATGTAAATATGTGCCAATTCCAGCACTTGAACTAGAATGGGTATTTTGCGCAGAGGTATAAAGATGGTCTATCTCTGGTGGGAAGGAGGCAGAACTGCCTCCATAATTGTGCAGGTTGGACAGTGTGTAAATGGTGCCCACTGGGGTACTGCAGCTCAGCCAGACATGAAAGTCAGAGAAGTAAACCAGTGTTTACACAGCAGTGTAATATATGCCATGATACAAACATACATAATGTGCTTTAAGCAATGAGTAGGACCTCCAAACCAGATATGAACTGGGAGCAGGGCATCAGGCAAAGCTTCCTGGAGGATGTGATACCTCTGATGAGTCTGGGAAGGTGAAGTGGTTACATTGAGAACAGTAGGATAGAGACAGGCAGGGAGAGGAAGTAGCATGTGCAAAGACACAAAAGTATGATATGTAATTTGTAAGTAGATTATTATGGCTAAAGAATTTCAAGGACTCAAATCACTTTGCCTATATTTGGGCATTTGCTTAAGTAAAAAATAAAGTGCGAAATATTACACACATTCAAAGACTGTATAAAATGATATTACAGACACCCACATACCCATCGTTTAGATTTGCTTTATTTGCTTCGTGTCTCTTTATAAGAAATAAAACGTAGCAAAACACTAATTACCTCTCTCTCTATCTCTTTCCTCTCCCGCCCTTCTCTTGCCAAGCTAGCCACTAGTTTACAGTTGGCATGTGTTTTTCCCATGCATGTTTTTATGCTTTTACTGTGTAAGTGTAAGGGCAATTACTTTTTAATGAGAGACTTTGTCTAGGACGTTGCAGCAGAAATTACAATGCTTGCCTCAGCAAACTTCCTGAGAAGACACCTTGAGCAGTAGGCAGCCGATGATGACAACCAAACCTGCCCCCCTCCAACATTTGCAGGGAAAAAAATGGGACTCAAACTGGCTTTACAAAATGCAATCAGAGAGGGTTAAAGTGTCTGTTATTTTTCTTTCATCCTATTTTTTTAGTTGTTATGAGCCCAATAGCAACAAGGAAAACAGTTGGGAGAAGGAAAAGGAGATAAAACTCAAATTAGGGTATTCTGTCACTTATTAACAGCCATTATTAGCAGTTTAGTGGTTCAAATTGCTGATTTTAAAAAGTTAATGGGAAAAAATATCAATAGATTGGGCTTCAATTATTGATGTTTCCCTCTCACTCTCATTCTTATGACTAGCAAAATGTGACTACACAGGTTGTTTTTCGTAAGAACATTTGACCTAGTAAGTAAATAAACAAAAACATACACACATACATACATACATACACACATACATACATTTCAAGAACTTTGGTGCCAGGAAAATCACTTGCCCCAAATCACTGAAATGGAGAAGACATACAATTTCCATCTTGGTATTTTCCATTTGGATAGGCTGACTCATAATGATCTGAAGAAACAGTTCCTTTCAAATGCACACAGAATTGCAAAAAAAGCGAGTTTTGCAAAAAAGCAAATTCTGCAAACATTGTGTACTTTCATTTCTGCTCTTAGGCACATTAAACTGAATTGGTCATATAAAAAATCTCTTGCTAAATTGAATTTAATTTGATTAGGAAATTTGCGTGTACGTGCAGACAAAGCATGGTAATTGTGAATTTTAAAAATGTCTGGTTATTGAAAATGTTCTTTTTTATGGAAGTTTTGCCATTGCTTCATTAGGGAACTGAGTTTTTGTCAGTGTGGATCCACATTGGGAATTAAATAGGCCAAAGCCCTTGTTTGGGAAATCACTCAAGGAGTAGGTAGTTTGTCCTTTCTGAAGAAAAGTAACACAGCCTCAAAAGCTGGAACATTGGAGTAGCTTGAAATTCTTCCTGCTCTGGCTCCAAGGGACCCTCTCTTGCCATTTCCTAGCTCTGTCATTACTTCCTTTAAAAACAAATGTCTTGCTCTTCCCAGCCCCAGTTTCCTCATCAGGCTCTGGAAGGCAGAGTTGGCTGCTGGATCCTAACGTCCTGGCCTATGACCTCAACCAACCAAAATAATTACCTTCTACGTTACTGTAAGACTTCTAAAACACACAAATAGAGAAAATTTAAATAGAGTTGGTTCAAAGTATTTCAGGGGAAAGAAAGTGCTTTTCAGAGGGTCAACATACCTTATTGCAAGGGTATAGGTACACGGCCAGTCATTTGAGACTACCTGACACATGTCAAAAGCAAAACGCCCGAATCCACCTGTAGCTTATTGTACAGGTGCTATTTAGGCCTGTCTTCCAACCTCAGTCACCAGAGGTTCCATTCTGCTAGGATAAATGAGAAGGAACCTTGCATTTTATAGGTCACGGAAAAGCATTCAGGTGAGGTAGCAAAGGATAAAAGAATTATGAAGATTCTTCATAAATCTCCCAGGTATTATCAATAGCACATGTCCAAGTAATGCATGAATCAAGTACATACTTGAGATTTCCATTCCCAGAATGCCCATTATCTTCCTTTAGCCACATTACAGGGTACAAGGCCCCGAAAGATAGTCAGTCATTCCATTGGCTGAATTCTCTGAGTATTTTTTCCCTGGTTTGGGTAATTACTGAACAAAGAAAGGATTGGAAAAGCAGCTAGTCTCATATTTTCTGAAACCTTGTGTAGTGACCTTAGACCCAAAATAGCATCAAGAAAATTCATCAGCATTCTCAGTATATAAGGATGTTCATCAGTATTTTCATTCCTTACTAGTAAATGCCTAGTATTTTTTTTTTGGTTTGGCTTTATTTTCTCTCTGTGTTTTTATACATTTCCATCACTCCAGGAAATTCCCTTGTGGCCCTTCCCAGTTAATCCATTCTTTTCATGAGGTAACCACTGTTTTGATTCCTATCACCATAGGTGAGTTGTGCCTTTCCTAAAACTACATACAAATGAATGAACACAGCAAGAACTCCTTAGTGTCTAGTGCCTCACGTTTATAGCATCTATAAAAACCACCTCTTAGTTTCCGTATCTGTCAATTGAGGGAACCGCCTGCAAGAATGGTGAGCAGGCATTCTGAGGAGTGGTAGGTTTCCGGGGAGGGGTGAGGGACCTGACAAGTCACCTAGACTGGGCTGGGTGAAGAGGAGGCCGAAGAGTGGGGTCTGCGGCACCCTTCTCATCTTCATACAAAACAGCTGTACTTTTCCATGTCTTACAAATGGGGGTTCATTGAAAGTTTTCATTTGGGAAAAGGGTTCTTTGTAAAAAAAAAAAAAAAAGAGAGAGAGAGAGAACCACAGGTCTAGACCATCCTTGCAGGTCCCTTTGCCCGATTATTCTATAAATTACAAATAGAGTTTTCTGATATGAGAACTGTGACTGGTCCCCTGGAGAGAAGGCTGGGAGACAGAGGCAGCCAGACGGGGGCCCCCAGGGAGGGCCTGGGCACTAAGTACTGTAATATTAGTACTAGTTACCATCAGATAGCGCCACCCCTAACTGAGGCACCTAGACAATGGGCCAGAGGCCCTGGGCCAGGGGAGGCACAAAGACAGCATTGAAAAGACCAGGCTCCCACAGCCAGCGCACATTTCTATAGACTCCGCCAGACGCGGGCCCAGCCGGAATGCCACCTTCCAGCCAGGGAACCACTTTTTTCATGGGTCGCTTTTAAACTGCTAAAAACAATAAACACAGCAAGGGAAGTGCTGACACAATCTTAACTGCAGAGACAAACTGAAACTGTCGTTATAATAATGTAAACAAACCGGGTTCCGAATTCTAACCTTGCGTTGCAGAAGGAGCTGCTGGTTATTGGCAAACACCTGGGAATGGACAGGGAGAATTCAGAGGGCTTGTCAATCAAGACAGGGGATCCTTACTGCACAGGTGCTTCCGTCCTATCTGACTTGCTCCAACCAATGGGTGATGTAAGTCTTAGGACTTTTTCACACACAAAAGAGAGACTGAAGAGGACTGTTGGATCTTCATGGAGCACAATTTTCCCACACAACAAATGAAAAGATGGGCTCCTTTCTCTCCCTGTCTTATCATTACTCTTATTCCCCCACGCGAATTTGTGGCATTCCTTTACTCCAATTATGCTTTTTAAAAAGCCCATTTACTGTTTTATATTTCCCTGAATACCTACAGAATTCAAAACTATGTTAAAGAACAACAGCAGCAGTGCCAACAATTAGAAGATAATTCCCACAATGCTGCAAAGTGACAAGCATAGAGATCACGAGTCGGCCAACACCCGAATAAGGCCTGCTATCTGACCTTCTGATCCATGAAATCACATGTGGAACTTGGCACCCACGCAGGACGGCCAATGGGGGGGAAACCGCAGATCTGGAAAAAAGGAAACACAAGAAAATAAATACAAGTGCTTTTTTTTTTTTTTAAGTCCCCCAACATTTGCTTAATCTGCTCTTCTTTCTATGTTTAGAGTCTGGTTTCAGAGCTGTCTCTGATTTTGAATAAATGCAAATAGACTTAGATAAAATCTCATTCCAAAGGGGAGATGGTTGCCGATGGTTTCAGAGAATCCTTTAACACAGAGATTATAGTAACACATTATAGGCAGGGGACAACGCCTGTGGATCCCAAAGACCTACTTTTCTGTGGACAGGACTCAGGAGTTTTGGACTCTCAGCCTGGGAAAATGACTAAAAGACAAATGTGAATCTGAAACAATTTAGAAATGTGCTAATGAGGGTCCAGTTGGGGCTCAGATAGGTCTTAACAAATAAAAGCTTCAACTGTGCCCTGTGGTGAAACCACAGGACTTGCATCCAAGCATGACGCTATGGTGCTGTCTAGACTGTGCGAAGTGCGATTATGTTGGGGACACTTCGCACAGGTATAAACAGATGAAAGAGGCGGCCAAACAAACAGCGGCATCTGCTTGTGCAGCCGACAATGTCTCCAAGTGTAGGGACAAGTGAGAAGCTGCTTTTCAACTAACTGTGGTTCCCAGATTTTTGTTGTACGCAACTTAGCAATCAGGAAAACAAGGGTCAGTAGAACAAACGTCTGGGTTCCTGCTACCTAGAATGGACCGCTGATAAAATTTTTTTCACATCTGCTCTTCCTTTTTAATTAAAAAAAATTAAAAATAGAGCCTAGGTATAATCTCCTTGACAATTCCACTCCAAGGCCAGAACATACATCTGTTTGCAACTTTGTAGTCCACATTTAAAATACACACATACAATATGTGTGCCCAGGACAATGCACAGTGTTGTGTTTTTAATTTACCTATACGAAATGAATCTATGCATATGTGTCTATCCCTCTGCATTTTTGAGTCAACGTTAGGGATGTGAGAGCTAACTGTGTGGATCTCCAGCTCATCCCTTTAGCTGCCACAGTGAATAAATATATGCTCATTGTCCTTTCGCCCAACACCCAATGTTTATGGCCCCATAAAAGCACCTATTATATCATTAAGTGATTGTTGGGTATGTGTGGGTGTGCGTATGTTTGTGTGTAGGTGTGAGTTTTCTCTGCCACTGGACTCTTGAGCTTCTCGGGATGTTGCCTTGTCTTGTTTTAACTATGGCTGTTCTGCGGGATGACTTCATGCAGAATCAACATTCAGTGTGTTAAAAGGCAAAATATATTTGTTAAAAATTGATCTGCTTATTATTAATTTCCTCCTCTTTAAAGCACCATGAAGGAAGACTTTGGGGCCATATTTATATATTTTCTTCAAAATCTCTCTCCACTGCTCTTGTCCTATATCTTCAAACTCCAAGCCATTACTATCACCTGGCTGTTTGTTGGACAATCAGAAACTCTGAGAGTAGGAGTCCAAAGATGAAGACATTTAAGACACATATTCTAAAAGCATTCTCAAAGGCTGACTTGCCAATGCCAAGAAGAAGCTTGCGTTTGTAATTGTTGCGTTTTTATGGCACATATGAGTAAATATATACCACTACCCCTAACATTAATATTTAAAAACAAACAGTGCCTTCTGTATGAAAATAATAATGGACATTGGTTTATTTTTTTGAGGCTATAATTCTGATTTAGACTTTGAAGAATAAATGTGAACCTGACTCAGGATAAACAATATAAAAATTCTCATATGATGATTAATATAATAAGCATTTTTATACATAATGTTTACTCAGCACATTTTGTGGGATGGTTTATGCAACATTCTTTCACCTAATTTCACTTAATTTAATCCTCAAAATCATCATGTGAGGTAGATATTATCGTTTTATGTTTTTCTTGATTATATATATAGAGAAACATGAATTGGCTGCCTCCTGCACGCCCCCTACTGGGGATTGAGCCCGCAAGTGGGGCATGTGCCCTGACCAGTAATTGAACCAGTGATCTCTCAGTACAGGGGCTGACACTCAACCAACTGAGCCACACTGGCCAGGGCAGAGGTAGGTATTATTAATCACCCTATTTTTCAGAGGAGGAAAGGAGAGGCAGAGAAAGGTTTAACATTTTGTTCAAAGTCAAACAATGAGGAAGAGGCTAGCCAGCAATCTCATCCAGGCAGTAGGGTGTCACAGGCTTTGTTCTGAATTACTGAGAACAAATGTAGGTTGTAAAGATAAAACTGCAGAAAAGAAAACAGAAAAACAGTGTCATTGAGGTGGTTTCCAAATGTTGCTATAATACAGACAGACAGCGTCTTTCATGGTGTGCCTCAAACTAAGGACAAACCAAATTAGAGTACTCCAAGTAGACATATTCAAAGTGATTTCTTAGCGATGAAGGAAATCTGAAGTAGCAAGGTCAAGCCCCAGACCCTTCCAACCTAAACATACCCATTTTTAATTCTTCTCTTTAGAAAACAGGGAGCTCACAGCTCAAAGGAGGTGGCCCAGTTTGTATACCCAAGATTCAAAGCAAAAATGAGAATTACTTCCTGGGACAACTTTAGCTCAGAATGTGTGTTCTTTACACATTTTTAATTGGGGCACAAATATATTAACAGTGTGGTTATTTTGTACTTTCAAAAGAATCTGTTTATACCTGATTCATATTTATATTTGGAATACATTTATTTCTGGGCATGAAAAAGTTCATTTTGTTAAGCCATCTGACCTGAGGTGAGGTTGGCACAATTTCCCAGGACTGCTCCCAATTAATGCAAATTGAAGGTTAAAGGATAAATAAAGTCCCTTTAACTTGGTTAACTAATATGTTATTTATAAATGTCTCTTTCCTTGGTCTATTTTTTTCATTCACTAACTATGTACACATGAACAGTATGGAAGAGATTAGTAAATATATAATGCATATTTTATCACAAAGTTTTCATTTTAAAAGGATTACTATTATGGCAAAAAATAATGCCATATATTATCTATCTATCTATCTATCTATCTATCTATCTATCTATCTATCTACTATCTATCTACTATCTATTATCTATCTATTTGCACCTGTGTTATCTCAGGTCTCTTAAAATCTAATGGAGCCTGAGACAGACTGATTGCATTGCATTAATAGCCTGTATTCTTCACTCCTCCCTATACCTGTCCTTTTGTCATGTAACTTTGCAGTTCTTCTCATCAAAGAAGCTGAGTCTATTTTCCTATCCCTTTGATTCTGGTTTTGGCCATGTGACTTGCTCTGGTCAATGGAATGTTAGCAAGTCTGCTGCATGTAGATGTTTGAAAAAGTTCTTGTTATGTTTAAGTCTTTTCTTTTGCTTCTCTGTGATCTCCATGAGAACATGCCTGGCTAGCCAGTAATGGTTAAAAAACATGGAAGGGAATTTGCTCATGTCAGTGGTCTCTGCCAAGGCCATCCTAGATCAGCCTTGACCTGCCAAGCCCCATACATATGAGAGAACCCAGGCACAATGAGCAGACCCACCTAGCTGATCTCCAGTTAACTACAGATGCATGAGTAGGCCCAGCTTGAAGTGGAAGAACCACCCAGCCAACCCTCAGACTCATGAACTTAAAAATGCCCCTGTTTCAAACTGTTGAGTTTTGAGGTAATTTGTTACTATGCCAGGTAATTCCAGGTAATACTATTGGGCACTAGATGACTGATAAAGGACCTACTTCTGGTTCACTCAAAAAAGAGATGACCACATAGAAGATGATATAAATCAGGTAGTAAAATTCAGCAAGTATCCACCAAATACCAGCTGTATCAGTCAAGAGTCAATCAGGAAAATGTAAACTGGTCTAAGTATTCAAGCAGAAGGACTATAATGAAGGCATTGATTACACAGGCCAAGAAAAAGATGGAAAGACAAATGGGAAAATGAGGCATCCAGGAACTCAGTAATTTCAGGAAATCCCTGAGCTATATGGACAAAGAATTGAAATGTTTAATATCAGAGCCCTGGAACCAGGGTCAATCAGCAAAAGCTGAAGGCTCAAAGGTCCTCCTCTGAAGTCCTAGAGGAGACACAGTTATCATCAGAGATACTGTCTGAGGCAGACAGTGTGGGGAAGAAGTGCCCTGGCTTCTCCCTTCCTTCAATCTTCCATTCCCTTCCAGGGCTTTCCAATGGCTGAAGCCAGATGGAGGCCTGGACAGCACAACCCTCTGTGAGCAATCTCTCAGGAATACAAGGGAAGGGCAAGAAAAAAAACAAAAACACCCGAGGGGCCAACAGGCAAATACACCACCACAACGTAAAGATATTATACAGGTTTGAGAGCAACATCCACAAAAATAATGAAAATCAGAATAGACACTGGGCTTGAAGGTTAGAAAGCAACTGTGGGAGCAAGGTGAAGAAGTTATTGCGGAAACGGCAATATTCTAGTTTGGCTGAGAAGGCTGTGTATTTAGGAGGAAGGAGCAATGAGGCTACAAAGGTGAGAGCTTGAAAGAGTTTGAATTCTAATTCAAGCAGATTGGACTTCTGTTCTGAAGTCAACAGGAAATGAAATGGTTCTGGGCAGAGAGTGACATGATCCAAACTGCACGTTAGGAATATTACCCTGATAGAAATTTGATGGGTAGATTGGAGGGCGACAACTAGACCAGGGGTTTCAGTCAAGGGTAGACCTCGGGGAATTCCCAGTGCTCCTGGACAAAGTGGCAGGGGTCTGTATAAGCATTCAGTTTTCTGAGAGATGGTACATAGTTTCACATGGTTTTTTCAATGGAGTCCATGACCCTTGATCCCATTGTAAGCACCAGAAACAGGGAAGTGATTTAGAAAGCTCCTACAATAATTATTTTAATGAAGATGAAACATGTAACAGTGGTAATGGGAATGGCGAGGGCAATATAAACATTTATGAGGCACTAAACAAATAGGACGAATGTGAACAGAAATAAATAAGAACCAGAGATTACGAAAAGGTTTAACTCTGGGCTACATCCACTTGCTATTCCTTCCTTTC